TCTGCCAGGGGGAGCCTTGTCTGACCCCGATTACTGTGAATGGCACCTTTTGGTGTAGACAACAGCTGGTCTCAGCTCTCAGGGAGGTGCAGGATTCCTGGCAGCTCCCTGTTAAGACTGGGTTGGCCTCTAGTGGCCCAAGGCTCACAGGCACAACAGGGTGACGTCTAGGCTGTGACCAGATGGGATCATGAGGAGCAACTGGTATTTCTCTGAGATCCTTAACAGAGCTCTCTCCTCAGCTGAAGGCCTTCCATGAATCCAAGCTATTTGAGCCATTTTATACTTGTATTCTCTGTTTGTATGTCATTCACAAGTACTTTCAGATACTTGTCTAAACCATCAATCAACCTGTGAAGTTGTCATTTCCATTTCATAAATGAGGAAGCTCAGAAAATGTGACTTGTCTCAAAGTTTGGAAACTTACCAGGTTTGTCACAGAGCAGGATTTGGCACAAGTTCACACTGGCTTGATCCAAGGAAAGTGAATTACAGAGATCGAGAACGGATTTCAACATAAAATGATCTCAATTGCTAGGTGGCCCATGGCAGTGGGGTGTAGTAAGTCTGGGAGCCAGAACTAAAACTCCAAACCTGTCAGGTACTAGGGGAGGGACTTGGGCAAGCTAATGCTCATTCTCACTTCCCTCACTTATGAGATGGTCTCTCAGAGGATAAATGATAATATCTGACATAAGTAAATGCAGTATTCATACTACCTTGAACATGTGGATAAAAATACAGCATCTCTTGGTAATTTTTCTTATCTTTCCCAACTTAGTTTCTACCTTCAAACTAGACTAGAAATGGGCTAATTGGGGTTCTTCTCTGTCCTTCAAGTTTGCCTGGGGTTCAAATACTTGAAATTTAACCATATGAAAGGAAATCTGCCTCATCTGCAGGCTAGCTGATAGGTATGGGGCAATCTACCTTTTCTAGGCTGACTGGCCTTGGGAGTTTATCCCAGTGGCCTGGCATCATGGTGATTTACCTGGCACGCTTGACTGAGCATGGCCCTGGCTGGGAGGATTACATTTCATCCAATGTTGAAATCACTTGAAATTCTTCTTGCTCATCCAAAGATACAGAAATAAAAGAAGCAACTCATGGTCCTGCTGAGGCGAGATCTTTATTGTTAGCCGTTCTTGGATCTTTATTTTCTATCTGCCAAAAACAGATGGATCCAAGTAATGTAAGAATCACATGCACATGGATGTTACTGCACACCCCACACACATTTCACCAAAAGATCAAATTATATTTTTACTGTCTTTATCTGTAGACTTTAGAGCTCTATAGAAGCTTTGAATGGAAAGGACATTTTTATCATTTTCACTTTTTCAACGTACCAACATTCAGAGGGTTCATTCTTGGGTGGGACGAAGCAGGAGGCCAAACCATTCTTTTTAAATGCCCTGGCCTAAACACTGTCTAGAGACTAACCCACATGCACACACACCGTAAGTCAATTGAAGTGATATCCAAACTCCTTTTTCCCCCTTTCCTCTTCACCAATCCCTTTCTCATCATGGTGGAAGCCCCTTTGCTTCCTGCATTTCTATTTTACTCCTTAGTGTTAATATAGAGAAGGTGCTCAGCTACTTGAGGAGCTAAGGATTCAGTCATTCTAAACCACTTCTGAGATAGGTCTCCCTAAAATATTTACTTGTGCTCTGCCTGTTTGACCAGTGGTCACAAGATCGAGTCATCCATTGGGCTTTAATCCACAGCAGGCTGGAATGACAGCAATACCAAGGCTATGACTTTATTAAAACTCTCAATTCCCTCAGACCTATTTCAAAGCTAATTTTATTTGATGCTTGGCCTGTGAGTTTGTGCCAATTTGCAAATTTTTTCCAAATCACCTTCTTAAATCAATGTAAAAAGAGTTTATCTTCTCTCATATATGCAATTCCTTAACAGTTTCAGGAAAACAGAATCTCTCTCCCACAGAGGACTTCTACAGGCTGTGGGAATACTCTTTACAAAATACAAGTTAGGGGTTAGGAACTACATTCATGCCTTTTTATTATTACACACACACACATATAACATATATATCACTATATAGTTACATGTTATACATTATATATAAATTTATATTTATGTATTATGTAATATAGTTTACACATATATAAAAATATGATTCCCCAGAGATCCGATCCATATATAGATCTAAGGAACAAGGAAACTAAAATCTAAAGACAAAAAATCTCTTTTCGGTTCTGGATCCTTAAAGAAACCATACTTCCACAGTGTTGCCATTATTCCTATCTGTATTTAAGACACACACCTAGAACATGGACCTATTGTTGGTCCCTTCTTCATGGTGTTGTCCATTTCAGATAAGCATGATGCAGTCTACACATTTAGATCCATTCACGTTTATGACTTTGTTTTTAAAGTTAAGTGCTCACTTCTCCCTTATTTTTATCTACACTTTTCTAAGGATTTTCTCTATACTTCTTTTGAGGCATATTGCAAGTTTTTTTGAAGAAACTGGTACGGAACTCTTAGCCCAACGCTGGGAGTACACTCTGGAGACTTGCTGCTTGTGACCTAATCGAGACTTCTATAGCTTCCTATTTCCTCCCATTCAATAGTTAGTACTTGTACCTTTTCTGGACCCTCTGCCACTTTAATTAGCAATAATCGCGCCTCGGATAAACCTCATTGGCTACGACACTGCCACTGCACAAAGCTTCCCTCTGCCACTTTAAATATGCCTCTTATATATATAGAAATACCCCTTCACATGTAACTCAGGGCTTAAGCCAGGTTCCATTGACTTTTGAAACTTCTGCCGACGTCTGCTCTGCCACATCTGCTGAATATAAGGACAAACCCTCGGAGAGGGGTCACTCCTTTCAGATTCAGCAAGTCTGTAATCAGTCATTCCCCACTAAGAATTTGTAGTCACATCTTTATCCATTAAAGAGTCTAAAATATTCCACAGTTAAATCTAAGAGCTTCACATTAATAAGCAGGTACTTTATCAATGAGAAATATTGCTCTTGAAGCAGAAGAACCAGTTGAAGCTTGAATGAAATAAGCGTCTATGCATTTACTGAGGAGGTATCTACCTATACACCAAAGTTACAAATGAAATAAAACCAAATGATAAACCTCGTGGGACCCAAATGTTTGTTATTGCCTTACTTTCTTCTAACCAGGCAACTCTTTCCTTGTCTCTCTCATTTCTCATTTGGTACTCAGACAACCTCTGAGACACAACTGAACTCCGCCCTCCTCCAGAAAGGGATTTCGGGCCCTTGCTGAGCTTTTAACACCCTAACACTTAAACCTGTGCCTCCCTCCCAATTCCAACCATTATTGATGTTTTCTACGCATACAAGCTCATTTCCACAAATGCAGACCACAGAGCAGGGCCTTATGTCCCCTGTATTGCTACGGTGCCCAACCCAGAGTCCTCATTAACACTGATCTCGTGGAGTTTTGGACACAAACCCTTGTGGGAAAAAGACACGAGCTAGGTCACCCCATCCCATCTCATGCAACCTATGCATGCTAGCCCCCTCTGACTCATGGTTCACTTAAGAGCACAGGAGCTTCAAATAAGTAAACTAAATTGATTTGGGTCCCACATCCAAGATGGTGGGTTTAATTGGTAGTGTGAAGTAACGTTATACCTGAGAACTTTTGAATTTATATTGCACCACTAGTTTCACAGGCATGACTACAAATGACCTTTCCATTAATGCCCGCATTTACCAGTTGTCTTTCACACTGTGTTTCTCTCAAGAACATTAAACACGGCGTCCTGCCCCTTTTTTGTGAAGCATGGAGGCTGTGCTCTATATTGTTTCAGAATCGCTGGCATTCCCACGGGGAACAGAGTGAGCCTCACCCTCTCCTCATGACTAAGTCCAGAGAATGTGTGGTAAAGGAGTTTGTGACATTTTAACCTGAGTACTATTCCAACCATTGTCTGTGAATGCTTGCTTACAGTGCCTGTATCGCTACACTGCTGATCACAGTAAACGTGAGGTAGGCTGCTATGAGCTGTGCCTAACCCAAAACATTTGTGGCCACTTTTTAAAGCAGGCTGTATTACTGCACATCCTCAGTTTCCTAATTTCAGAAGTCTGATGGGCCTACTCTTTTCCCCAAACAGAATCTTAACATCTCCACTGCTCTCGTCTTTGCCAAGCGTGGGCAACAAATACTGCCTTTAACACTACAATTATGTCACTGACCTATCAGGACATACAATGGGGATTGTTTTCCAGTGCTGAGGACAGAATACTTGAATGTATTTTCCAACCCCCTGTGGCAAAGAGGTGCAGTGATAAAGGGTCATAATCAGGCCTCTGAAGTGAAGGACACATAGGCTTTGGGATGAGAAATATCTGGGTTCAAACTTAAGTGTGCCAATTTGCTAGCTGGGTAACCTTGACCAAGTTATAATTTGTTTTCTCATCTGCCAGATGGGAATAACACTACCTCCCTCAACAGGGTTGTTGTGAAGATTATAATATACACAGAGCCCCTGGCATACCACTACAATATAGTAGATACTCAATAAATGTTAGTATTTTTATTATCCAAGAGTTTGAATTGGCTAGAGTCCAGGATTTTTAATTAAGCTTCAATCTTCCCAGAAAAGTCACCTAGGACTAAAGTTAAACATATTATTTATCCTGTCAGACTGTTAAATCCTTGTAAACTTAACTTAGTGGGTAGAAAAGGTAGAGCACTAGGGTGGAAGGAGGCTGCCCTTGCCCCATTCCCTTATGGCCCCAACACACACACACACACACAGTTGTCCATGTCTCCAACCCTACTTGATGAAGGATGCTGCCCTTGCCCCATTCCCTTATGGCCCCAACACACACACACACACACACACATACAGTTGTCCATGTCTCCAACCCTACTTGATGAAAACGCCTATGGTCTCAAAGGTTAGAAAACTTTCAACCTTTCAAAACTTAAGAATGGGAAAGTGAGGCCTCAGGGCTGTGTATATTCCATTAGAAAAGGAAGGAGGGAGAGAGAGGAGGGATAACTGTTATATTTTCTTGTCATTAGCAATATAATGGCTCCCATGCGTTGGAATCCCAGTCTGATGAGAAATGACTCGAAGGTCATGGATGGACCTCACTGTCCACTGTGAAAGCTCTCGCAACACCTTTAGGCCCCATAGCTTCTTCTCAAAGAGACCACCATCTCCACCAATGATGGGCATCCCATCAGCCTCGTTGGGGGGTATCTTGTGTTCCAGGAACATCATTAATTCCTCCAGCTGGTAAGCAAAGGCAGCAACTTGGAGTAGAATGGTATGTATTGCTTGATGGAAATCCCCTTCAGCTGGAGTTAAATGCACCTGCTGGTCTTCTAAAAGCCTGGCCAACATAACATGGAAGGCACGGTAAGCTTGGAGGTTCTCTTGGAGTCGCTCTGCCTCAGTCAGCTCACTCCACTGATCAGTGCTTGCCAATGGGACACCATCCACAGAGTCCAGGTTTATGTTCTCGTTCAGGCCCTGATGCTTCATCTGGCCAAGGATACATAAAAACATCACATCTTCTGTAATTATCCCAGAATTCTCATTTAATCCCTAAATCTCATGTAAAGTCTTATTCACCTTCCTTGTCAAGGATCCAAATTGTAAAGAAAATAAAAATGACTAGACTTTAGGAAGACCTTATTCTCTCTGAAATGATACATACTGCTTTGACTACCTAGTCACTTTTTGTGGGAGAATTTGCAGCTTTCATTAGATTCTAAAGGTTGAAAAACACTAGTCTACAATTTTTCCTTCCCACTTTGAACTCCCTCCTGGAAACTGGAGTACCTGAATCATACTGGAGTTTTAAGTATTTTAAACATACTTGAAGACACTGACCAGACCTTAGGAAGCCCTAGAATTAACCCAATGCTGAATTTTTCTAACCCCCTCTCCTTCATTATCCACTCTCAATGGTGAGGACAATCCTTTAGAGAATTCAGTGGGAATTAGTCAAATAAAAATTAAAAAATAAAAAAAGGCACTTAAGAGTCTGATTTCTAACTGGTGAGGCTGTACAAAGATAAACCAATTCTCAGAGAACTTAAATTTAGAACTCTCCTTCAGTGTTTCTATAATAGTAAGCCTTAGGTGGGAGACTGATGGTGATCTCCCTCTATCAGAAAACCAATCTGGAACTCCATGGTTAGTTCCTTTGACACTTCCCTAAGTACCCAATGAATCTTCTAGGGAATCCTTTTGATAGTGTAGGTGACCATTCTATTTAGACACACAGAAACTTGATATATGTAATGAAAAAGTGGGTGGCTAATACTGTACAGAAGAAATTCTTTGGGTTTATGCTGCTCAAAAATTCAGAACAATGTGAATGAAGAACCCACACTTAGAGGGCACATGGTTAATCTATTCTGGTAGAATTCAGACTGTAAGCAATCAAATTAGGAACAGCCTCCATGACATGCAGCCAATCCCACTCAGAAGCCTATGTCTATTTTTCTTATTCATAGATCATGTCTCCTAAACAGCCTAGAGAAAAAAATAAGGGCATAGGAGTTTCCTTAAGGGAAGGAACCATGTCAAATAATAGGTGCCCAATCTATGAATGACTATATGATTAGGGCCTTCAATGATTGGTATTGGGGGCTGGAACATGATAGTAAGGGGCTGCATCAGAAGAGATGAAGTGAAAACAGACAACAGCAAATCAGGCAACTTACATAAGATTCCAAAAGAGCAGTCAGGTCTGAACGAATCTTCCTTGCTAGCCAGATAGAGCGGCTACAGAGGTCCCGGCGGTGAGGGGTCAGCGGTGAGTGCTCTGCAAAAGCCATCCCCTAACTCAACTGTCCCAGGAAACAAGTGAGCTGGGTTTGCTACTGTCCACACTGGTCCAAATAAGAAATGTGACTCTCAGACTAAATCCACTGGGCATTCTCTACTAATGGGATTGTGCACCCCACCCCCACCCCCCTGCCTGACTCAGAGGTGGCAGCAAATTCCTGGCTGTGGATTTTTGTGCCTGTGGAATCAAAGGCCCCTTTTTAATCAGCTTTTTTTCCTGCAGTGTCTGCCTCCATCTCTCTCCTCCACTCAGTGCTGAGCCTACTTGTTTTTATGTCATCGTTTTGCTTTTGCACTTAGCAACAAGGTCACTATCACACTAATCCTCAAGACACCCCTGCCTAATGTGATCTACTTTACATACACATCATCAGTTCATTTTGTTATCACCCTCCCTTGCACTCCCCACGTCCTCTTCTTTCTTTCTCTCTCTTTCCTTTTTTGGCCTAGTAAAGTATTCAATAATATTAAGTTATTATTATCAATACAGCTGCCACTGCTTAAGCCTAGCTACTCTGGGCCAGACACTCTGTGAAAGGCTTTAAAGCCTTTATTTGAGCTTTAGAATAGTTCTATGAGATAAATATTATTTTCATTTTACATTAAGAAACTGAGGCTTAACGAAACTAAATAATGTGCACAAAACCCAGCAAGCAGGCACAAAACTTAAATTACGTCTCCGATTCTCCCATTGACTTTGCAATTTCATTCTGTAGGTTTTTCACATTTTGTTCAAGAAACAAAATTTATGCAAAATAGGTCCTTTAAAAATATAGCATCTTTTCATTGTGTATTTAAAGTTAGTTTCATTTACACTCAACTAAAAATCAGCAAAGTAAGTCATCTCTAACCTCGATCATGGTGCCTTCCTTGCAGCTACAGGATGAGGAAGGTACTGTTTAGGCCTGTTCTCTTCCAAAGGACAGGAAACACCCAACCCTGACTGGGAAACATTTCTACGGCAGTCTCAAGTGACAACATGCTTTCCTTTTTCTTCCTTATCCCAGTCATACCACATTGCTTCTTAACAAAATACGAGAATGAGCTGGGTTTTGAAATGAGGACAAAAGAGTTTAAAAGCACGTGCAGAGTTCTCTTCTATTGCATCTAACTTAACTCTGTAGGTTAGATAATGCTCCCTGAGCAAGAGCTGCAAGTGTCACATCCCCAAATCAATTAGCTTTCACTATTTCATACCATAGACATCATCTCTAAATCGGAACACATGCCTTTTCAGGTGCAAACTTCCACAGGGAAATAAACAAGGGGTGGAGGGGAGGAAAACTGAGACTGGCACTCACAGTAGGCCTTTTAAGAAGGTAGGAGGATTCTATTTTTATCTTTTTTTTAAGTTAGTACTCATTGTGGACACTGAGTTTTATGAAAAAGCACTGATATTAAATGCTATCAAGGTTCTGTCATTATCAGACTAACATAAACCTCACAGCATCCTTAACGTTCTTTCTACTAGATTAATGAGGCCATCTTTTCTAGAACTCTGTCAAATCACTGGAGGGGTTTCCAAGTTGGCCAGATGATCAAAGAATCCTATGGCAACTCAGCATTAGAGATCAGGAACGAAAGAGTCAGAAGTGAACTATCTGACTCTGCCGGAGAGAAGCAATAGTACCTGCCACATAAACCCTGCGCTGGGGGCACTGGATTCTCAGCAGCAATCAATTGTTTTAACCCTTAGGATAACTGTAACTCAGTACAATCAAGGAAGACAAGTTGCTTCCATGAAGACAACTTTTATTTTTCTTCTTTACATATTTATTTTGGATATGCCTTACCTAGATTAAGAGAAAACAAGGATTTGAAAAGCAGAGTATCCCTTTTATTATAATTTCTTTTTACATAACCTTTTCAACCTAGATTCAGGTTAACTACCTGTCTCTCCCATCAAAGGAGAAGGGTCCTGCACGTTATAACAGGCAAAAAAGGCTTTTAGGAAATAAAAATATTTTAAATTGATCCATTACAATTTTTCAATTTTCTTGAGTACATTGGAAAGTGGGAAAAAGGAGGGAAAAATGGTACTTCAAACAACCAGACTGTAATAACCTTAGCTGAGTTTAGTACACTCTTTGTATTTTTTCCAACAGGTACAAAGGAGGTTCAAGTGCTCTATGTAGACGCTTTCCATACCTGAATTCCTTTTTAACTTCCAGTAATCCTGGCCAGTGTTTATCCAAACTCTCTGGAGCATAGTAAGTCTCAATTATGCAGAGTAACCCGGGGCAACCAGAGACTAGGGGAAAGCGCATCTCCCAGAAATACTTGTATCTCAACTACCTTTTCAGAATTTTGAACTGCCATTTCAAATTGGAGAATGTGCAATGGGAAGAGTTATTAAAAAGGTAACCCAATTTGATTAAGAGTACAAAATGCAGAATTTTAAGACTAAAAGGGCTCCTTGGAAGGACACAGAAGTAAACAGCATGAGAAGCAGACAGGGAAAGGGAAGAGGGCCTAGTTAAAGACAGCTGACTTACACCACTTATTGTGCTAGCATCCCTTCATCAAAAGGAAAAAAGATAAAGTCCATGGAGAATATTTTAAGATTGATTGCAAACTGCTATAATAACTTATTGAAGCAAACGGTAGGCAAGTGGTACCTATAAAGAGGTCAAAAAACAAAAGGAGGAAGAACAGAAAATTTCTAATTATTAGAACTCACTTGTTGCTTTGGTGGGGAGGAGTGTGATATAGGGAAGAACGTATTTTCCCTCAATCTCATCAAGTTTTTTTATGCAGTTTGCTTCTGTGTAGGTGGTTAAAATATCTGATGACTAACCACTGCAAAAACAACTTACAGAGACAAAGGAGAAGATAAATGTGACAAAGACAAAAGGTAATAGTGTGGGGTACAGATGTGAGCTAGTGAAAAAGTACAAAATGGACTTATAATGGGAGTGGAACAACTTTGTTGTAAACCCACCCAATCAACCTGATGGTATTTTCAAATGTGCTCAACATACCAAGTCAATTCCAAATCCTTCCTGTGGGCAGGAAAGCATATTCTATACCCCTTCTATCCTTATTCCATTTCCTACCCCCACACTGGAGGGATGGCAAATCTGCAACACTCTGAAAAGAAACAATAGTGCATTTAAGTCTATTCTCTGTAGGTGTCTGACTCCCTATTCCCTGGCATCCCAACCACTGACATTAGTGGGTGTAAAGTAAGCCTCTTTCAGAGATGACATTGTTACCCCTCTTTTTTGGGAAAAAAATAAATCAAAGAGAAAACTGATAAACTTTATAGTTTTAGTGTTTGTGAAAAACAAGCTGTTCCTTATTTTGCTCTCAGCAAAACTTCATTCTTTTCCAGCAGCCATCACACATTTCTGACAAACAATGAATAGGGAGAGCCTTTAATTCCAGCTTGTGAGGTACAGAGGAGAGATACTGCCCTTCTAATTCTCTAAAAATGAGCCGAAATAGGTTTTAGTCTTCTGGGAGCTATAAAGGTACAAAAACACCTCCTGCCTCTCCCATGGCCAGTAATAAGCAATCCACCCCAAGAAAATCCCTATCTCAATGGAAGCGGTTATTCCCAGAATTTTAGGTGAAAGCCAAAGCCATTATTATAGATTATTGTCTATGGAAGCCTCTCCTCTTCTGAAGTGTTATTTTTATAAAAGGGAAACAAAACAGAGTAATTTTCTTTGACTTCAAACTGTACGAGTCATAGACTATCTCTTCACTAATGGTAGTGTCCTTCACTAATTGGGAGCTGGAATGAAACAATGATAAAGCAAAGCAAAACCAAAAACAAAGCAAGGGGCCAGAATTGGGCCAATAGGAAGGTGTATAGAAAGAATTGATAGGGATAAAAAAAGAAAATAAATTCACAAGAGAAAATCTTTTATCTGTAATTCAGACCCTGAATAACCCTTCTCTCATCCCCTCAAAATTCCTAAATCGCAATGCTCTAAAAACTGAAAGAGCACTAGTTACCAAAAACCTAACATCCTTCCCTAAAAAGGCTTCTGAAAAAGCACTAGGCTACTGTAGTGATTTTGTTAGTGCTGAGGACCAGCTTTCTTTAAAGGCCACTGGAGAGCTATGATTTTAGAGGCTGGCTGTGCTTCTTCAACCCTATATCTTGCCTTCAAAAGTACCTCTTATGGAAAGGACCCCATGTCAGAATAACCTAATCTCTCCCAGCCCCACAAAATATAGCAACGAAGACCCCCCCCCAAAAAATATCAGACTTTCCGTTAATAAATAAGGAATCTCAGGTTCCACAACACAAAAACAAACACGTTCAAAGTGCAAATTTCTGCCATTAGTCTGGGACTTTTCTCACTGATACAGAGCCCTCCCTTATAGTCAGAGAAACCATGTAGAGGGCAGCACCCCCCCGCCCCAAGTTGGGAGCCTGCTTCCAAGCTAGTGAGCACCACTGAGAACCAGATGGAGGTGTTGGAAGGGGATTGAAGTGCTGGGGTCACAGAGGAGGGAGGTGGTCCCCGTGAATCCTTCCTTTCCAAAACCCAGCAGGGAATGGAGGAAATGGGCTTGAGTGAGAGAGGTGTGCTGTTTTAACAGCTCACCCTAAGGGGCCTAAAGTGCCAAGTCAAGCTGCCAGCCTCCAGAGATTAGAACTGTATGAGATACTTTGGGGATAAGTGTGCTGCAGTGGATAGAAGCCAGAACCATAGGGCAGCAGTGAAGGAGAAGGGGTTTAGAGGACAGTAATATACTATCAAGAGTTAAAAGCTGATCCAGAGCACATCAGAGTTACAGGTTTAAGAAGGGATCTGCCGGTGAGCAGGAAGTCTGCCTGGCTGGAACTGAGTAGGAGGATAACTCTCACTTTAAGAGCTTCTTTTTTGCCTACCTTTTTGGTAAAGGCAACATCAATTTTATAAAGGGGACAATAGAGGGAGAAGAGGGTGGGTGTAGGTGTGTGTGCTGTGATCCACAATGGAAAGAGCAGGCCCTTCAGTTATTTTACTAGATTTTAAATGCTTTAAATTTTTTTTGTCCTTTTTATCTTTTAAATACAAAGTCTGAGCTGTCCCAGTGCCCAAAGTCTTCCCTTCCACTAAGGTCCAGTAGAGTCTGAATCTTCAATCAGAACCTCTGTGGTAGCACCGAGTATATCCGAGTTCATGACCAGCCCTTCAGTGCCCCCACTGCTGCCACTTCCCACAAAGATCTTCCCATCAGCCATCAGGCTCACCCGTTCTGTCCCACTACAGTATGACTTTGACATCCCTTCAGCTTCTAGCAGGAGGCACTCTCCAGAGGTGGAGTTTCCCAATGGCTCAGGAAGAAGAGGAAGACCCTGCCCATCTGCAGGTTGTGTCAGGGACTCTGGGTTAGTGCCCAAGATATCTGTGCTGGTGATGAGGGCGCCTGCATTGGCAGCCAGAGCTTCGGCAATCAGCACCTCAGGGTGGCTTTTTGCTTTGTGTGCCACTACGCTGTCCTTCTTCTCAAATTTTTTGCCACAGATATTGCAAGAGAACTGGTAGAAGGAATCTGCATCATGCTTCTTCATGTGCCAATTAAGGGATGCCTTCTGCCGACACGTAAATCCACAGATCTCGCATCTAGGATGAGTGGAAGAGGAAATGGATGATCAAACAGAGAAATGAAGAGGGCTCTTCTTCAGGGTCAGGACAAGAATTTAGAGGTCACATATATAGGCAATAGTCAGTAACATACTTCTTCGGAAAAATTAGAAAAAGCTAACCAGATGGAAAATTCATCTGTTTTGTTTGTTTAAAAAAACTGAGGGAATAAGAAAAAGTTCACTAAGTAGCATCCTCAATCAATAATCACTCTAATTTGGTAAAAGTCAACAGCAGCGGCGACTGAAAAGTCTGCACAGGGACTAACCAGCAAGTAGGGGAGATGTGCGCTTCCCCACATGTCCACCAGTAAATAACACTCACTGTAATGGCTTCTCGCCAGTGTGAATCATCCGGTGCACTGCCAGATTGTGAGAACTCTTGAAGGCCCTAGCACAATATTCACAGATATAATCCCTTTGATCTAAAAAGAAAAATAATGTGGTTAGTGTTCCATTTAGAATCCTTCTAAGTATTTAATTTTCCCAGTTCAAAATAAGTAAGCAGATAATCAGTCAAGTCAGTTACAATAAAAGCAATACTGTTTTCAATGTACAAAACACCTTGGATAAACAAAATTTTAAAAATACACCATTTTCAATTTTTTTTTAAAGTCCATACACTCAGTAGCATAAGGACTCATTTTAAAAAAAAAAAACTAAACAAAGCAAAACAAAAACTAATGGGACTATAAGAATTAGAACCCCAATCTCAATCCCGGTAATCCAAATCTTGGATAAATTGCTTAGTAGTAAAGAACGTTTTCCCTGGATTTTATTCTTTAAAACAGTTTTTCCAGGTTGTGAAAGCTGAAAGCTTATATATAAAGAATTTGGCACTCAGACCACCACCACCACCACCACCACCACCACCACCACCACCACCACCACCACAGAATTTGGTATTTCCTAGAAGAAAAGTGATCCACGATTAAAGTGGTAATCATATCTTCTGTTTCAGGTTTAAAAATTGTTACCCAAAACAAACAATTTAAATTTCTCTCAAAAGGTTCAAGTTGCTGCTATCAAACATATGCAAACAGTACCTGTATTCTTTACCTTATTCTCCTACCCCACCCACATCTTCTGCACATTCAACTACCTTCCTTTCTTTCATTTCACAATCCCCCCAAATTTCACAGGATTTTTGATGTATTTGGTAACATGGTGTAGAATCTAAAGGGCATTGCACGTAATTATTTATCACTTGGTTTGGGAGAGAAGCAGATAAGGAGATGCTCTGTATCTCTTGAATAAATGACCACTATTGTTTTCTATGCCTTTCACTTAAAATTGCTACAAAAAGTCACAGTGAAAACATGAGGGTAAGTTAAAAGGCAAACAGTATGCAATTTAATTCTATATTCCATCCCAAACAGTTCTTAAAGCCAAGTGTCGAAGAAGAGCCAAGTTTGTCCCAGGCTTGAATACATTTAGGAATCATTGGGGGAATCTTAGTAAATGCAGATGCTAGCTGAGCAGGTGTGAGGCAGAGTTTGAGATGCGGTATCTCTAACAGCGGCTCAAGTGACGCCAGTGCCTGCTGGCCTATCTCCTACATGCTGAGGAGGTAAGGTCTAAAAATGCACTTTTAACCCAGGGACAATTCTTAGTGTCTCCCAGGTCTTGTCCACCTTTCTAGCTTCATTGTTGCATGGCAAACCTGGGTGGGGCATCCACTTGCTTAAATATATCACATCTTCAAAGGGAATCTGCACTAATTTGGAAAAAGAGAACTACAATAACATCATAAAACTGTACTAACCAGATGTAAATATTTGGAATGGACTGAACTTCTAAAACACTAGTTTGTCATAGTAGGCCTATGACATTTAGCTAAAGCTGGTTGTCAGAAACTACTTTGTAGAGAATAAAACAAATTAACAGGGAGAAGGAGTGGAGAAAAGGCAGCACGCAGCAAGGAACAGAGTGGAGACAGCTCTCTCCCCGAGGCTGCACGGTACAATGCGGAGACTGGAGACTCAGCAGTGATTCAGGCCTGACCTCAAGTCCTGGTGCTCTGAAACGTCCACTGTGTGCCAGGCCCTGTGCAGCAAACAGCACTTTATATGTGATCTCATTTTAACCTTACACTAACTCCACGAAATCGGTGACATTATTATTCCCTTTTTTCAGATGAGGGAAAGTGAGAAGTAACTTCTCTAAGTCACACATACAATAAAAGTAACCCTGGGTAGGAGACAACCAGAATTCCTAGTCTTACCCTCTACAACTGTTGGGAAGATGGTGTGTAATAATCCAGTGTCTGGCACCTACTCAATTAGCTCTAATACCCAGCTTCATTTGTTCCCATGAGCTGAACTGCATGGAGACTGTCAGTGGCTACAAATGAATGGAATTTGAAATCATTCTACATTATGTATAACGAAGACATTAGGTTTCTCTTTTTGAGTCAATAGTTCCTACAGGAGATGACACGTGAGGTCAGTAGCTAGCTTTCATGACTGCAGCAGCACAGAAGTGCCAGGAGCTACTTACTAGTTACCATAAACCAACAGGCAAGCCTCTATATCATTGAGGCTCTCTCTTCATACTCCTCACTTCTAGTCCGTAGGAGATGGAAATGGAATTAGAAAATCCTGGTTCTGCTAAAAACTAGCAGTGTGACCAAAGGCAAGTTATGTAATATGCAAAGCCTCTGGTTTCTTAGCTGTAAAACAAGGATAATACAAGCAAACTTGGTGATGTTGAACGGATGGATAAGCAATAACAGTTGATACAGGATATATGCTCAATAAAAAATTATCCTGGTCATAAAAGTCAAAGAATAAAAGTAAAAAGCCCTCATTTGTTCATCCCTTATAAAATTTGTTTTATTACATTTTATTTTCATACCTTTCCCTCACACTTGACTGTAGACTCTTAAGATTTACATTAGAAAAAAATGTCATTACCAATCTACACATTTAAAAGTAGAATGCATTTAACACTTGATAAAACATTTTATTTCAGAAAGTACCTGTATGATGTTTGGCATGTCGTAGAAGTTGTTTCTGGAGCCTGAAGAGTCGCCCACAGGAGGGATGAGGACATACGTATTTCTTCTTCAGCAAATGCTGATACTTAATGTGGTGCTAAAACAGTAAGAGAAAATAAAGAGGGATAAAAATGAAGACTTCCTGAAAGTTTGTTCCTTTGCTAAGTCAAAAGTTTTAAGAGGGGCGCCTAGGCGGCTCAGTTAAGCATCCAAATCTTGATTTTGGCTCAGATCATGATCTCAGCGTCCTGAGATGGAGCCCCACATCAGGCTCTGTGCTGAGTGCAGTCTGCTTGAGATTCTCTCTCTCCCTCTCCCCCCACCCCCGCCCCCTTAAAAAAGTGCTAAAGGGAAACCAAATTATTCTGGATATGGAAAGGGGGTGCAGTATAATAAAACAGTTAAGAACACAGGCTATGGAAATAGACCTGGATTCCAATCTGGGTCTATCATTCACAAGCAGTGTGACCTCAGGAAATGTGCTTAAATACTGTGAGCTACAGTTCTCATTTGTAAAATAAAGACAACTGTAAGTGTCTCACAGCGTTACTGCGAGGATACAGAGATCATGTGTTGTATGGTGCTTAGCAGAGCACACGGCATACAGCGGAAGAACAGAAGCAATCACTATTAGCACAGAGACAGAATCAGAGAGTAGGGCCTTAGTCTCATATTATCCTTGCTGCTAAACTAAAAATCAAACAGGCATTTCTTAAGCTTCAGTGATAAGCATTTCACTTTCATGCTTTCTGCCAGACCTAAATATAAGCTGTATCTTTAATTCATTAAAAAAAAATCTACTAAAAACAGAACAAAAAAACAAAAACCCTAAAAATTAATTTACTTTAAACATTATTCAAGAAATCACAGGTTAGAGTTGCTAATTTTATTTTTTAAAAATACACATTAAAATAAAGTGTGTTCATCTGTGCCTTTGGTTTGTTGGTACCATCATCTCTTATATCAGAAGTATTTATATCACAATGGGAAACACTGGACTATTCCAAGATTCCAAGGAAATCCTTTATTTGACCTCATGTTGTTAGACATTTTTAACACAATGAGTTAAGTAATTTTATGCCTTTTTAAAGAAAGATTTTTCTTGACACTGTATGTCAATGATAAAGCCTACACACAAGTTCACGAATTATAGCATCTCATGAAATAGAAAAATCAGTATGGAACATAACCTGAAAGGCTGCCTTACATAACAATTTACTGACCTGCAAATAGCGAGGGTGAGCCAGAACAGTTCCACATCCTTCCATCTCACAACGGACATATTGGATTGGAGGCTTTTTTCTATTATCAATATGTAGGAGAAAAGTTAGCAAACAGAAGAGGCACTCTGCACAGTGGCTTAACTCAATGCACTATAGGGAACAGCAATTTTATAGCATGAAGAATTAAAATCTCTTTACTAGTATATAGCTTGCACAGAATTTATGTTAGAAATAAGCAGAAACTATCAAATGTTTGATAAGAGTTTTAAAAAACAGCACAAAATAAACTAGTGACCTCCCAAAAGAAGTGTTAAGATTTTTAGAAACTTAAAAGACCCTACAATGGAAATAAAAACACAGGAACTCTGCATCTAGGACATTAATAAAGTTGCTTTTGAGAGATTTTTACATAGCCATTCCTGCAGGGTAATTATGAGTAATTATGTGAGTAAAGTGCTTACCACCAGGAATAAGGAACATAGTAAGAGTATAAATTACCTCCTTTTGGGTAATCGTGGACTTTTGTCATCTTTTCGCCTTCTTCCTCTCCTATAATTAAAGAACAGAGTAACTGTCCACATATTCCAGATAGAAGCTTACAGAGTGAAGGATGGCTGAAGACATATACTCAAGACCAAAGAGCAGGTGGCAGAAACAAAGGATAACACAGAATACACAGAGTCAAAAACGTATCTGACAAGCCGAACAAAGATGTCATTCTGAAGGAATTTCACTTAAATAAATCTGCACTACAAGTTAAATACATACCTATCACAAACTATACATTACTATGGAAGATTTGGATAAACCTCAAGGTTACTACTTGAAGAATCATTCCAGTAAAAAGTCTATCACTTAAATTTAATCAATTTAAAAAGTAGAATAATCTATTATCTAAAAACCCTAAGAATATAAACTATACTCTCCTTTTAATAGAACGAAAAAGACTAAACACTTAAAAGAAATCTTATTTCTGCAACAGGCAATGGTTGCTGGACTGGAAGTCAAGATTCTTCAATCACCTGCCCTCATTTGCCCTTCTTTTGAGGATTCACATTTGCCATACTTTTTCTTGCTACCTCTACTCCCTCTGCATCCCATTAGCTGCTGTCTTGCCCACTCATTTAGACACCTTTAAGTATTGCTTTGGATTAAATTTAAACTTTTCAGAGAGCCTCTGCAATAAAACTGTCAGCTGCTTGAGGCAGCAATATGCACCTGTCAATAGCCCCCCTCACACTCCCACTCTTTTTCCCACCAGTGGCTTCAAAATCTGTTAGGTTTCCATTTTTAGTAGTAATTGCCTACTCACTTCCTAGGAGGTTCCTCATCCTCCCTAATTTCATTCTCTTCTTCTTTCACCTCTACCTCAACTTCCACTTTAATTTCTTTCTTCTCCTTCTCTTCTTTCACCTTCCCTGATTTTCTCCGTGGTTTTGGGGTTTCCCTGAAAACACAAACACATTTCAACACTGGTATCCAGCAAAGGATCTTTGCAAAGGGAACTGTGACAAAAGGGTAAATCCTGCGGTTATCATCGATTTATTGTAAGATTATGATCCTTAGCTCATGAAATGTGATTTCCAGTCAATTGTTCCTCACATGCACAGTAAAAGCCGTTAGGCTAACAATACCTGGGAATCAGAATGCACTAAGTTGTAAAGAGAAAGACAAAAGTAAAAAATTCTAAATATTCAGGCAATTGATGATACTTTGTATCATCAAGGTAAAACATGCAGACATCCAATAATTTGGATATGATCAAAATAAAGTTATATAACTAGAAGAGAAGGCTGTGTGAAGGAGTTATAGGATAATATTAAATTGGCAAAACAAGTGCATAATTACTCATTTAAAATTAAGTCTATACCCATCAGTTCAGCAACAAGGTGAAATAAAAAGCATGCAACAGTGCTCTCCTATCTTATTTTTCATCGACACGTCTATAGTAAAATCTGAGACATGCCTCTCTAAGTGAGGTTTGTAGGTCTCGTCTCTTGGGTCGTCTTTGAATGGTATTTCCTCTTCACTGATTAACATCTCTTCTTCCTCTTCCTCCTCCTCATCACTACTAAAAAGAAGCAAATTTCTGGATTAGAAATTCCAGTTGTAAGGATTTTATCTGACTGGATTTTATTTGCTAATTTATTTAGAGGTTGCCAAAGATTCACACAGTAAGTTATCTAGAATTTTCATCCTTATGGTCTAACTGGACTGCAATCTAGCTGTTTTATCCTCACAATGATAACTGTAACTAAAAATACATAAATCCTAGAAATGCTATTACTTGATTAAATAAAGGTAAGATGATGACTGCCCAATGGCACTAAGAGCTAAAAAAAAACAAAAACAAAACAAAACAAAAAACAACGGACTTTATGAGGTGCCTGAGTGGTTCAGTTGGTTAAGCATCTCTTGATTTCAGCTCAGGTCATGATCTCAGAGCTGTGAGATGGAGCCCCACGTCAAGATTCTCTCTCCATCTCCCTCTATCCTTAAACCCCCCTTCTCCCTCTCTTAAAACACAAACAAAAACAACGGACTTTATAATCCTGTGTCTAGTAATCCAATGATCTGCTTTACCAAAAAGATCAACAAAGCAAAAAAAAAAAAAAAAAGAAAAAGAAAAAAGTTCACATGATCTACCATGGAATACAAATTTCAAAAATCCTAATCAAAACATCCACACTTCCCATCAGTGGCTAGCACGGAATAAGCCAGAATACAGAAAGTACTCAAGACCTGCTTTCTGGGGGTGCCTGGGTGGCTCAGCTGTTAAGCATCTGCCTTCGGCTCAGGTCATGATCCCAGGGTCCTGGGATCGAGCCCCACATCGGGCTCCCTGCTCGGCGGGAAGCCTGCTTCTCCCTCTCCCACTCCCCGCTTGTGTTCCTGCTCTCGCTATCTCTGTCATTTAAATAAGTAAAATCTTAAAAAAAAAAAAAAAAAGACCTGCTTTCGGAACTAAGGTAACTAAAGATTACATGGTTAAAGCTCTAATCAAGAACAAAGTGACATCTAAACTAAATACTAAAACCAAATTTTTTTTTAAAGGCTCAATGTTCTTTCAAGCAGAAAACAACTTTTGTGTGTACTCTATGTCCCCAAAGGTGTAAATACGAAATATGAAGTTTCTTACCTAATGCCACCTGGAGACTGATGTTCTTCTGCCCCATCTGGATAAAGAAAGCATAACAAAACCTTATCTTTATAAAGGAAGCCTGTATCACCACACCTACCCCTGAAAGGTAAGCTGTTCAACATTACATTTAAAATCAGCAGGCAATTGGTTATTAAATAACCATACTCCACTTGTACTGTACCATAATCAAGCTGATCTGTATTTGGTTCTGACTTGCAGATGAGCTGCAATGAACCAGTCTTTGACCTAGAACTTCGGGTGTTCTCTGTGTCATGATGCCTAGAAACAGATGTCCTGGTACTGCTGCGCCAGCCCCGGCTAGGCCTAGTTGCAGCAATGGAAACTTCCTGAGGGAGGGTAGAATCATCTTCTTCCTCTTTCTCTTCCTTAGGATCTGGATGAAAACATATACCATTTGTTTATGGTTAACCAATAACCGTCTCAGTATACCGACTATTGTAAATAAAAAGTTAATAAAAAAGAAGGTAAATTAATTTTTTGTTCAAGCCCCTCAGATTTTTATATTGAGATAACAGAAACAAGATGGGAGAAAACTTACCTTTACTGTCATCACTCTAAAAACGTCCATGTTGTCAAGCAGTTTTATATCGTCTTATTTACTAAAAAATGCACTGCTAAGAAGTATGCAAAATACACCAAATTCAATTCATGGGATTTTAACCTTTACATCTGAGACAAAAGAAACTGGGAGTGGTCCCAGAAAGATGGCCAGAACTTCTTATAGAAGTACAAGAAAGAAAGAATCACAGGTCCAGATGTTTTAACAATCGGACAACGCTGGAAGAAATTGTGAAAGAGGGATCCCATACTAAAAATGCCTTATTCAATAGTTCTTAGAACCACACCATGAATTTGAATTGGTCTATAGGGCAATCATGACAAGCTCTGCTTCAATCATCCTATGAGATGCTGTGCAAAGGTACACAATCTGTCCCTGTTATATTTTCTTCATGCTTTGAAGGGCAAATGAAGTGAGGGAGGGCCATTCACTCCTGAGCAATAAATAAATAATAAAAAGCTCAATTTAACTTTCATCCCCAGAGTAACTTATTACATATATATATGTGTATATATATATATATATACTATTAAAAGTATATTTTGATTATGGACAATTCTTTTAATAATCTCAGGATGGAAAAGGCCTTTCTAAGAATAACACAAAATTTTAGGTCTTAATACTGAGACCTGTGACTATATAAACATAAAAACAATTTTCAGCATGGCAAATTCCACTGTAAGCGAAGTCTAACAGCCCAACAGAAAAAGAGCAGTTCAGTAAAAACACATGGCTTTCACACAAACAAAAAGGTCAATCCTCTCATAATGGGAGAAACTCAAATGAAAAGGATTAGTGTGACACCACTGTTCCCTTGTCATACTGGCAATGATCCGAATGTTTGACAAGTGTGTATTGGGAACGCTGGGGGAAAGAGACAGTAACAAAGATGATGGCACGTGCACTGGCAAAACCTCTATGAAGGACAATTTGGCAGTATCTATCAGAATTATAAATGTGTATCTTTTCACATTAATTTCAGCTACTAGGAATTTATCCTACAATTACAATCACACTTATGAAATGACTTATGTATAGAGGTAGTCATTACAGCACTGTTTTTAGTAGTGAAAGAGCAGAAAACTAAACATCAGGAGAGGCCTTGTTACGTGAATTATGATACATCTAGTCAGTAGGCAACTGCATGGAAATAACTCCATGACACTTTATTATGAAAAAAAAACCCATATCCATATAATATGCAAATATTACATAGGTATACATTTGTTTTATATGTAGACATAGAAATAAATATGCTATACATGTAAGACATGTATCTTTTATAGGATATTATTTCTGGACGGATATACAAGAAATTGATAAATACTGGTCACTTCCAGAGAAGGTACAAAAATATGCCCAGTAATTCCTCACTATCTACCCTAGGAAAATAAACTGGCACATGGGGGTTCATGTTTATAAAAGCTAAAGAATGGAAACGACCTATCCCTCACTCAACAAGAAAATGTTCAAATAAACCATGGCATGTTACTGAGATCGACTATTATATAGAGGTATCTGTAAAGAATGCCATGGAATTGTTGGAAAAATATTGTTAAACAGAAATTAAGCAAAAAGTAAGACACAAAACTATATATAACATTTTTTTTAAGATCTGAAAAATATAGTTTCCTCCACTGTGGAACAAGGTGGTGAATGGGGGGCTACTTCAACTTTAACTATACTCTTTGAAAGTTTTATGAAAATACATTTAAGTAATGAAATAAAACTAGTTTGAAACGCACAGAACAGCAGCGGGAACTCCTAATAACCTGACATAATTATTACATCAGATATGCATTTCCTTTCAGTTTTCCTTCCCACTCATTCATTCTCAAAAACTGTTATGAGACAAAAAAAGACACTGTATATTGATAAAAGGGTCAACTGAGAAGATACAAAGATTATAAACATATACACACCTAATGTATGAAGCAAAAAAATGACAGAATTAAAGGGAGAAATAACCAGTACTAAAATGAGAGAGAGAGAGACTTCAATACCTTACTTTCAGTAATGGATAGAGTAACTAGTCAGAAGTCCAGTTAGGAAATAGAGGACTTGAGCAATACTATGAAAAAATCAGACCTAACAGATATATAAAAAATACTTCACACAAAACCAGAATACACAGTCTTCTCAAGTGCACACAAAAGATTCTCCAGGGAAGACCATATGCTAGGCCACAAAACAAGTCTCAAGAAATTTAAAAAGACAGATCATATAAAGAACATTCTCTAATCACAATGGCATGAAACTAGATATCAGTATCAGAAAGAAATCTAGAAAATTCACAAATATGTGGAAATTAAACACACTCTTCAAACAAACAGGTTACAGAAATCACAAAGGAAATTAGAAAACACTTAAAGATGAGTGAAAAGGAAAACACAAGATAGCATAACTTACTGCAGCAAAAGCAGTGCTTGGGGAGAAATTTATAGCTATAAACGCTTACATAGGAAAAAAAGAAACCTCCACATGTCAATAATCTACACCTTAAAGAAAAAAAGGGAAAAAGGAAGCTAAAGCTAGCAGAAGGAACTGAAACCTTCAACTAAAAAAAAAAAGGCTCAAATTACTAAAATTAGAAATTAAAGTGACTACATTAGACCTTACATAAATAAAAAGGATTGAGAACACAATTAAGGTGAACAAATTAGATAACCTACATGAAATAAACACCTAGACATACACAAAAACTAACTCAAGAGGAAACAGAAACCTGAACACACAAGTGAAGACAAAGAATCAGTAATCAAAAACCTCCCAAAGAACATTATCAACCATAGCCAAACTATGGAAAGAGCCTAAATGTCTACTCACTGTGGAATGGATAAAGACACACACACACACACAATGGAGTATTACTCACCCATCAAAAAGAATGAAATCTTGCCATTTGCAATGAAATGGATGGAGCTAGAGAGTATTAAGCTAAGCAAAATAATTAGTCGAGAAAGACAAATACCATATGATTTCACTCATATGTGGAATTTAAGAAATAAAACATGAACATATGGGAAAGGGGGGGGAAGGAAAAGAGGGAAGCAACCATAAGAGTCTCTTAACTACAGAGAACAAACTGAGGGTGGATGGAAGGAGGTGGATGGGGTTGGGCCAAATGGGTGATGGGTTTTAAGTAAGGAGGGCAGATGATGTAATGAGCACTGAGCGTTGTATGTAAGTGATGAATCAACTAATTCTACATCTGAACCAACATTACACTATTATGTTAACTAGAATTTAAATAATTTGAAACAAACAAAAAAATAAATACAATGACGACTTCCAAAACCAAATACCTCCCAACAGAAAAAAAAGCCCAGGAGCAGATGGTTTCACTGGTGAATTCTACTAATCATTTAAAGAATTAACACTAACCCTTCTCAAATTCTTCCAAAGAAATAAAAGAGGGAACACTTCTCAATTCATTCTGTAAGGCCATCATTACTCTGATGCCAAAGACAAAGACTCCACAAGAAAACTACTGAACAATTTCCCTTGCAAACCAAAGTCAGCAGCACATTAAGACTGTGCAGCATTTTAACACTAAGATCAAATGGGATGTATCCTAGGATTATGAGCGTGGTTCAATATACAAAAATCAATTGTTATGATATACCACACTAATAGAATGAAGGGAAAAACCCCACACAATCATCCCAAATGATGTAGAAAAAGCATTTAACAAAATTTAGCAGACTTTCATGGTTAGAACACACAGCAAACTAGAACAGAATGAAACTTCCTCAACCCGATAGAGGGCACTTACCAAAACCCCAGAGCTAACATACTCAATGGCAAAAGACTAACAGCTCTCTCCCTAAGATCAGGAACAAGACAAGGATGCCCCCTTTCTCCATTTCTTTTCAAAGCTATACTGGAAGTTCTAGCCAGAGCAATTAGCCAAGGGGGTGGGGGAAGCCACCCAAATTGGAAAGAAAGAGGTAAAACTACCTCTATTTGCAGATGAAAGGACCCTATTTCTAAATAAAATTCTGAAGATTCTGCAAAACTTAGGTAACAAATTTAGCAAAGTTGCAAAATACAAGATCAACACACAAAAATATTGTTTTAAATGTACCAGCAATGAGTAATTGAAAAAGGGAAGTAACAATTCCATTTACAATTCAATTACAAACAATAAAATACTTAAATACAGGTAAAATGCCAAGAGTCCCCAAATTGATCTACAGATTAAATATAACCCCTATCAAAATCCCAGCTTCCTGTTTTGCAGAAATTGACAACATAATCCTAAAATTCATATGAAAATGTAAGGGACCTAGATTATCCAAAACAATCTTGAAAAAAGACTCATTTTGTTCTTCCCAGTCTCACAATTTACAACTCACAACAAAGCTGCAAGAAACAGGGCGCCTGGGTGGCTCAGTCCATTAAACGACTGCCTTCAGCTCAGGTCATGATCTCAGGGTCCTGTGTTAGAGCCACACATCAGGTTCCCTGCTCACCAGGAAGCCTGCTTCTCCCTCTCCCTCTGCTGCTCCCCCTACTTGTGCTCTCTCTCTAGAATAAATAAAATCTTAAACACCCCCCTATACTCACACAAACAAAAAACAAAACTGCAGTAATCAGTGAGTACCACAGGGTGGTACTGGCATTAAGGAAAGACAGAATGACCAAAGGAACTGAATTCAGAGTCTCAATATAAACCCATACATCTATGGTCAACAGATTTTCAACAAGTTTGCTGAGACCATTAATGGGGAAAGAATAGTCTCCTCAACAAAGAGTGCCAGGACAACTACATACCCACATGCAAAGAATGAAGTTGAACTCTTACTTTATGC